ATGTAAATGTAAGAATTCTTTGTGTTTTGAAAGTGGTGAGAGAAAAGAAAACTTTCATTGTGTTTCTTTCATTAACAACATTCTCATAAATAAAGCATATTTGATTGTGTGGAAATTATCAAAAAGAAGAATGCTTTTAAAAAAATCAGCTCTGCCAGACTTCACAACACAAAATAAAAGTGTTTTTCCAAAAAGCAACTGGACATTATTGTTTTTTTCTTTGAAAACATTTCATTACTTATTGAAGAAGCTTCTTGTTCTGTCTCAGTTCTGGATCAATTCTGGAAGCTTCTTGGATGAGAAGAGAAATATTTTCAAAGGGAAACAAGAAAGAAGAAAGTCCATTTGCCTTTTGGAAAAGCACTTTTGGGCCAACCATGACTTGGATGACTGAGAATCTCCATAGACATAAATATTGGAAGTTAGTTAAATTATTAGCATTCTATTTTACCAAACAGGTGAGGAATGATAGGATAGAGTAAAGATGTTTTAATATTTTTCTTGCAGCCAAAGTGGACACAGACGTTAGATATTTATTCTGAGGGAATTTAGAATTATGAGAAATCATAGAATATTCGTTCAGAACTGAAAAGATTCAGATGAAGAAGATGTATGGATTTAGAGAGAATCTCACCCTTAATCTATAATTCTTTCTAATTCAGTAAAATTCCTAGAAAACTAAATCAACAGAGAAAACAAGCCATGGCATTCTAGGTTAAACTGAAGGCTGAAGTTAAAACTCCATAAATTAACATAGTATGCCTTATGATGAGTAACTTTCTAGAAAAATATAAAGGAAAAAGATTGTATGCAAAATATATTTGGACTGATTACAAAATTATTTAATACTTCTGTCAGAAGCAAGTTTTTACAAACAGTACCATACTAAAATAATTTTCAAAAATATTATTATTATTACTTTGAAAAGGTGTGCTTAATCTATTTGCAGTGTAATAATCAAACTCTACCAACACATCCTTGCCTTGGCCTTTGCTGTGAAGGAGATCAATGAAGACCCCCAGATCTTACCTAACGTCACTCTTGGGTTCCACATCTATGACACTTACCTCAATGCAAGGATGACCTATCGCACCACTCTGGACCTGCTTTTCAAATCCCAGGAATTTGTTCCTAACTACAAATGTGATAGCCAGAAGAATCTGATGGCCATCATTGGAGGATTAAGTTTTGATACATCATCTAATATAGCTGAAGTTGCAGGTTTCTACAAGATTCCACAGGTCAGTATGGAAGAGATGAACAGAAAAAAAAATACTTTGTTGTTATGACATAATTACTGAGAATCAGATATTAGATTTGTATTAAGACGTTCCACAGACCTTAAGGTATAATACTTAGCACTCTTTTATGAAGCTACAATGCCAACCATAGAAGTGAGTATTTAGAGTCATTCCATTCCAGAGGGAAGGTTTGAATGTAGCACACTCTCATCTTGTTCAAGCAAATGAACTATTATAATGTGTTTGAAATAATTCCTAGAAATTTCATTCTATACTAATATTTCAAAAGAAATAGAGGAAAAATTCCTTCTTTGGATATTTTTTACAGGAAAACTAGATCCAGAAAGATTGGATTTGAGCTAATGATTCAACAGAGTATTATTCTGCTTTATTTTAGCTGACATATGGCTCATTAGCTCAAGAGGAGTTTCAGACCAGTGAGCTCTCTTCACTTTATTTCATGGTCCCAAAAGAGGACCATCAATACATTGGAATTATCCAACTGCTTCATCATTTCAGATGGACATGGATTGGGATTTTTACTATGGATAACAACAACGGAGAACGTTTCCTACAGAAAATTCAGCCCATACTTTCACAAAATGGAATCTGTCCATCGTTCATACAAAGGCTTTCACAACTAGTCCACATAGAACACTTTGGAGAACTTGATCACATGGTCTCAGATATTTACATAAATTTGGGGAACAGCAACACCACCACATTTCTAGTCTATGGAGAACCAGGGACAATTATGTGCCTCAGGGCTATCGTGTTTGTAACAGATCCTGAAAACAAGCAAACTGCATTATTTAGAAGGGTGTGGATCATGACTGCACAGATTGATTTTATGCTCTCCGGCTTTCAAATCAGTTGGGATCTCCAGATGTTCCACGGGGCTATTTCCTTCACTGTTCATTCAAGAGCAGTTGTAGGTTTCAAAGAGTTTCTTCAGACCATCAAACCTCATTCAGACCACAGAGATGGGTTTCTACAAGACGTTTGGGAACAATCATTTGATTGTTCATTTTCAAAATCAGAATTGCAAGAAATGTCCAATAGGCAGTGCCCAGTGGAAAAGAAACTGGAGGATCTTCCTGGGCCCGTGTTTGAAATGGAAATGACTGGCCAAAGCTACAGTGTCTACAATGCTGTTTATGCTGTGGCTCATGCTTTGCAGGCTCTATTCATGTCGGGGTTCAATAAGAAAAAAACTATGCTGCGTAAAAAAACTGACCTTCCACCTATGCAGCCTTGGCAGGTATTCTCTCTGCATTGGACGCTTCTTTTATTTCAATGAGCAATTTGATCTAGAATTACCATTTGAACTTATGGCGGAAAGTCTTAATATGTTCTGTTTATAAAATCCAGTGTGAAAACAGGTCATAAGTCACTTTTTTCAGTGCCCTCGTAACTTCAAACAGTCACTAAACAAGCTGTTGTAAGTAGAAGACTACCTGTATTATCCTTTAAATTCTCTCTCTTTTTCATTCTCTTTCACATAGCTCCATCTGTTTCTACATGGCATTTCTTTTAACAATTCGCCTGGAGAGAAAGTTTCTCTGAATGAAAAAGGGGAAGTAATGGGTGGATTTGATATCATCAACCTCATCACATTTCCTAATCGGTCTTTTCAAAGAGTTAGTGTCGGAAGAATAGAACCCAGTTCTCCAACAGGCAAAGAATTATTCATTGATGAAGATTTGATTGTCTGGCACCCAGCTTTTAATCAGGCATGGACTCATTTCATGGACTGTATCTGGAGCTATGATGATCCCAAATAGAGTCCCTTGAACCACATTGAGTAAAGCCTCTTTAAAAATCTAATTTCTATATTTGCAAGAAAAAATGGCATTCTAGGAACAAATATGGCCCATGATCAAGCATTAATCGAATTGACAAAATGATTTTGCAATGTAGAAGTCAGATTTTCTTTTTGGTTTCAATTACCTTTCAAATTATGAACGTTGCCTTATTTCCGTAACATTTTCATCCCTCATATTTATTTATGCAACTTGCCTTTTTCAAAGAGGCCGTTTTCCTCATCACTGTAATTTCAACAAATTTTAATGCATAATATAAATCCAGCCAGGTAATATTCACTAGCCCTTTGGAGAAGTAAAGAATTCTTTACCTTAATAAAAGGTGATGATTAATAACTCACAAATGAAGGTGTTCCAGAATAATGTTGAAGAATCTACTTTGAGTTAGTCACTGGTCCACCTTTGGTCCCGGTGACTGTCCCAGATTAGATCCTGCAGGATTAATAAATGTTTTTTTCTTAAAACCTCCCTTTGCAAGAATCTTTTATGTTTATCACCAGGTACTTCCAATTTCTCTGTGTAATGACCATTGCTTTCCTGGATACTGGAAGAAGGAGATTGAAGGAAAACAATTCTGTTGCTATGACTGTGTTCCATGTCCAGAAGGGAAGATTTCAAATCAAAAGGGTAGGATAGACATTCCAGGAAGTTTTCATTAGGTTGATTTAAGCAAACAAAGAGGAGCAGTGGTTCAATAGCTTAATGATGCTAGAGAAGGTCATTAAGCTCCAACGGTTTGAGTCCTAGCATGGTGTCTCAGCTTCTGGCGATCTAGCAGTTCGAATGTATGTTATATGGAAGGAGATAAATAGGTACCACTTCGGTGGGGAGCTGAGCTGGCACTTCATGTGGACGGTTAGAATCCTGCTGGCACTGCACTTCCCATTTGTGATGTCCATTTGTGAGGCAGCTTAATGTAGGGACAGGACCCATATGATGCTGCTGTCAGGGTTCTGACCGATGCCCTAATAAAAGCAGGAACCTCAAACCAAGTTTCAAGAAAAATCCAGTTGTTTATTAGGAGCACCATATTGGCACAAACCAAATGAAGCCAGCTCTGACGTCATTCAATTTGTACCTTGCCTCTAACTCTGTTTTCCCCTTCCCCCAAGGTGTGTCATAAGTCACATTCCCCAACGAAGCAATTTTGCGGGTCATGAAAGTCATTCCCTCCAGCCATTACTGGTTTCTGTGGAGATGGCCTTGACTTTGGCCAGCTAGGATGTGTTTTCTTTTGACTGAGGTGCAAATTCCTCAATGCAGGTGCAAGGGTTGATTCCCCATCCCCCTGCCTATGCAACTTGGGAGCAGGTCATTTGCACCTGAGTAGTGCAAATGGTATGGAGCCTTCTTGAAACTGCTGAAAGGACTGTGTTGTGGAGCTGTGCTTTGTGCAGCTGTGTTCCTTTTTGCCCTGTGTCCCTTCACTGTGGAAGACAGACACAGGCTGTTGGGAATGAGTCTGTGTTGTCTGCTTCTCAAACTGAAGCACAAATGGTTCCTGTACTCTGCAATCTTTTTCCTGGAAATCTGTTCATACTTCCACACCATTTGAAGGGTATTCATCCCAAAGTGCATAGCTAAATGTCAATGGAGGTTCTCATTCATCCAGGTCATGGTTCTCCCAAAAGTGCTTTTTAATGAGCATCTGTCTGCAACGAATATAAATCCTTCCATTCCCCACCACCCAGTCAGAGCTAAAGAAGCTTCTTGGAGGAGAAGCGAAAGATATTCAAAGAAAAAACAAGAAAGTCAAGTTGCCTCTTGAAAAAGCATCTTTGGGACAACCACGACCTGGGTGACTGAGAATCTTCTTAGACAAACAGAGCTGGCAGTATTAGGGCAGCCAAGTACTAGTCTGTATAAGCATTATAGTCTCCTGGCTAATGTAACATCACCATATACTGAATAAATATTTTTTTTTATTTTATTTTAATAAGCAAAGTGTAATTTGCACACCTTAGTATGCAAATAAATAATACTTTTAGTTATTAGTGAATATTCATTTTTATAGCTGTGACTCACAATCTGTTGTTCAGGTCAATACACTCTGTTACTAGAGACTTACATATATCTTTACGGTTTTCTTTTCCATGTTTGAGAGAAAATGGCGAAAGTCCAAATGGCCTACATTGCAAAAAAATTTAAAATGATACAAAGGGTTGCATTTCAAAGAATAATATTCCTTCCATTTCTGCTTCGTTTTAAGCCAGTCCTCAAATTTTCCATTTGAGGAAAAACTGAATTTTCATAGAAACGTGATCAATCTGGTAAACGGTGGAAAGAACTCAAAGTTATAACAACTCTCACCCATTCAGAAAGTAATTTGAATACTATAGGATACCTAGATGATAAATTCCTTGATTTTCTTTCCAGATATGGATGATTGTTTTCAATGTTCAGAAGATCATTATCCCAATAAAGAAAAGAATGGATGTATCCTGAAATTGCTGGTCTTTCTAAGCTTTGAAGAAACATTAGGAATTGGTTTGGCCTCAGTAGCTCTTTGTTTCTTCTTCTTGACATCTTGGGTACTTGGAACTTTTATTAAGCACAGGGATACTCCCATTGTCAAAGCCAACAACCGGTCCCTCACCTACACTCTGCTTGTCTCTCTTCAGCTCTGTTTTCTCTCCTCTTTGCTCTTCCTCAGCCAACCTAACAAGGTGACCTGCCTTCTCCGACAACCAACTTTTGGCATCACTTTCTCAGTGGCCATTTCTAGTGTTCTGGCTAAAACTATCACCGTGGTTGTGGCTTTCATGGCCACTAAACCTGGTTCTCAGATGAGGAAGTGGGTGGGGAAAAGATTGGCCTTTTCTATTGTCCTCTCATGTTCTCTATTCCAAGTAATGATTTGTATTCTTTGGTTGTTCACTTATCCGCCATTCTCTGAGTTGGACATGCATTCAGAGCTCCAAGAAATGATTTTACAATGCAATGAGGGGTCAACTTCATTCTTCTACTGTGTCTTGGGCTTCATGGGTATCTTGGCCATCGCCAGCTTTATTGTGGCTTTTCTTGTCCGTAAATTACCTGACAGCTTTAACGAAGCCAAGTTCATCACCTTCAGCATGTTGGCCTTTTGCAGTGTGTGGATCTCCTTCTTTCCAGCCTATTTGAGCACAAAAGGAAAAGCCATGGTAGCTGTGGAGGTCTTCTCCATCTTGTCCTCCAGTGCTGCTTTACTGGGATGCATATTCCTGCCAAAATGCTACATCATTGTTTTGCGACCTGAGCTAAACCACAGAGAGCAACTCACAAAAAGAAATTAGTACATTATGCGTTCTTTCTGGCTCTCCTAATTAAAAGATCAAAGGTGGTTTGTATGCAATTTCAGGGAAAGAACCTGATATTTGGTGCCTTTGCAATCCATCCTCTTTTTTTCATTGAGGTTTCTCTATAATTTCTAGATTTAATGGGATTTTAGTGTGGTCTAGAGGGTAAGGAACTGTGGTAGAAACCAAGGGGCCATGAGTTCAAGCCCTGTCTTGGCCATGAAAGCCAACTGGGTAACTTTGGACCAAACACTGTTTCTCACAGGGTTGTTGCTATGTGGAAAAAATAAGGGAGATGGTATATTGGATATGTTTGCTGCCTTTGGTAGTTTGTAAAATAATAAAGTGGTATATATTGTAAAAAAATAAAATAATAAATGAAATGAAATGAAGCACTAATATGAAATGAAATGAAATAAAGTAATAAAATGAAACAAACCTGCTATGGCAAGTGAAAGGGATTGAAAGATGTAAAATGTACGATGACATCATTAACTAAATTCCATCAAGTTTGTAAAAGTATAGTGAGCTGTAAAAAGGATGTCATTTCCACACCACAAAGAGTATGTTTAATGTTATGTTTTATTACAATTTATTATAAATAGATAGCTAAATAGCTAAGTAGCTAGATATCCAGATATCCATAAAGGAGGGGTGGAGGGAGAGAAATAGATAAAGCAAGATAGAGAGATGGATGGATGGATGGATGGATGGATGGACGGACGGATGGACAGACTGATTGATTCTCTTGACAGGACAAGTAGCCGAAATTATAATGAAAGTGCAACCCTAATTCAGATAGAAACTAGTTACTCTGCAAGTAATGCTTCCCCTGTTCTCATAAGTGGTGGCATGATGTCCCAAATAGTTTACCAGTTTTAGAAATTAAAATTTAAGGAACATCCTTGAATAACACCTTATGACATACATTGTAGCAAGTTCTTTTTTATCTATCTATTTAAGAGAATTTGTATGGTCCCACACTCACTATCAGTGTCTCTGAGCTGCTTAAAAAATATACAAGGAATAAAACACACCGCTGGGGATAGCAATCAATTGGTTGAGCCACTTTATAGGTTTCAACCCCTTCTGAGTTCCACAGGCCTATTGACAAAACCAGGTGCTCAGGGCTTTAAAAAAGGGGGACCAATCTAATCTCAACATGGATGATGTTCCAGAGGGAGGGAGCCATCACAAAGTAGACACTTCTTCTGTGTCCCACCAGATGTCCTGACTTAAGAGAGAGGACACACAACTATCCCTGCCCCCTGCCTCCACTGGATCACAGGGATGTGATCAGGAGGAGACAGGTCTTCAAATAACCTGGTTCCAAGCAATGTTTAAAGGTGACAACCAGCACCTTGAATTGTACCCAGAAGCAAATTGTCAGCCAATACAACTACCACAGGAAAGGTGACACAACTGAGTCTGCACAAAACCATATGGGTGGCTGATTTGGAAACAATTGGAGCTTATAGATACTTTTAAAGGACAGCCCCATGTAGAGTCCCTGTTAGAGAAAATTAATTTCTCTATAGCTGTGCCTATTAATGGCTTTTGGAATGGACAGATACATAAGCCAATCAGAGGGCAGCTAATAGGTTTGAATCTCCAGGGTCCTACCCTAACTGTCATAGTTAGCAGTATAAAAGGAGATTCTTGTCAGAAACTCTTTGCTCTTCGATCTTCACTCATCTTAGCTATTTGGTCTTAGGTCTTAGGTCTTAACTCTTCTAGGATCTTCCGTTAAACAACTGTGAGCAGTTTGGAAGTCTGTTAGAAGAGCAGTTCTGGTGGTTTATAATAATATTTCTTCTGAGGAAGAATAGTCATAGATAACATAGCTTAGAGAGAATAGATGTAGATATATAGCTGACAGGATAATTAATCTAAGTAACTAACTGCTGTTTATTAATTGCATAGATATTGTTATGTTTTTATTATGTAAATAAAAAATCATTTACTGTTAAATGATTTAAAGGCTCATTTGTTAAAGTAGAAATTCATAGAGACAAAGGTTCACGGTTCATTGATTTTATTAACCTCCACAACAGTCCCAGGTAGAGCTGATGATCTCCTAATTGGTGGCCTGGTGTCCCACATAGTTTATCACTTTTATGAATTGAAATTTTAGGAAATTTAAGGAACATCCTTGTATAAAACCTTATGGCATCCCATTGTAAAAGGTTTTTCCCCCACCTTTTATAATTTTTCCCACTTCCCCCAAATTTTCTTATATGAGTAAAAGGTGTTTCAGCAAAAATGTAGGCTTCATTTTTAATCTATAACGTCTTCTGTTTTGAAATGTTTCTAATTGTAGGAAAAGAAATAATATTATTTAGAATTTTTTAAAGCAGGGGTGTCAAACTCAATTTCATTGAGGGCCGCATCAGGGCTGTGCCTCAGGGGCCCAGCCAGGCATGGCCAACTGAGTGGGTGTGGCCATCTTTATGCCACTCCCCAAACTGCTGGCATTTTTCCTCTTTTTGCATTGGGTAGGCTGGGACAAAGCCGTGCCCTTGTATTTGACACCCCTGTGTTAAATTATTTGTGAGAGATTTGTATGAAACATTGGTGCAAGTAATTATTTGAAGAGATTTAGAGAGCTTAGAGTCACTTTTTAAAAAATGTTCTGCATAGTTGTTCCTCAGAAAAGAACGTATAATAAATGACTGATACCTGCTGGATTTGTTCATATTTGATTTAGTGAAAAATTAGTCAAAAATAAAATGTGTCATCTGGGAAAAAAAACCTTTGTATTTATTTCTACAATTATAACAATTAAATATATACTTCTCTTGCATATGTCCCTTATATTACTTTT